TGGGCCTCCGAAACGGGCCTGATCAGCCGACAAGAGAAGCGGAAACTTGGAAAAGGGGCCCCGCGAGGCGCTGGAGGTGCCCTTAGGCAGACCCCAGTGGACAAAAAAATGTCCAAGTCATGTCAAGTCAAGTCAATTCACAAATATGATGTCATTTTAACGTCATTTGGAGTCAGAATGATGTCAAAATGACCTCAAATTGACTGAAAATGACGTCAAAATGACAGCATATTTGTGAAAAGACTTGACTTGACAAGACTTTGACTATATTTTGTCCACTGGGACAGTAAAAGCACTTAGAGATAAATTGCAATTTATTTGAAATATCATTTTGAACACAACTTTGCAAGAACCTGCATTTTGGTCATTTTTAAAAAGATAAACGCTTTTCGAAAAACCGGGCCCTTTTGGAAAAATCCGGGCCCTTTTGTTACTCCGCCCCCCCTGCAAAATCAACTTCCGGCGCCCCTGTCTCTGCCCCCTCCCCTTTCCTTTTCCCCCAGCACAAAGTGAGGTTTTAATTAATTTACCACCCGCGAGTTGGTAAAGCATCTATTTGAGTGGGCGGGCCCCCTCTCCATCCCCGTGTACAAGTCCCCCCGATGGGTGCGCCTCCCCACCCCACCCCGTGGTGGAGGGGGAGGGGGACTTCCCCGGCGCCGCCCCGCCCCGCCCCTCCCACACCGCAGAGGTCACGCAGCGGCGGCAGCGCAGGCGAGGCGCCTGATGTTTACACAGGCGAGTGATCGGCTCACACCTAATGGCCCACCTCGAGCCCACCGGAGGGCTCGGCTCTGCTCGGCTCCCCGCGCGCCTGTATAAATAGGGACTTCGTCAATGGGGTAGGAAGTGCTCGTGCCGGCTCCTACTGCCTCAGCCCCCACCCGTAATTAAACGAATAAAAAATTTAAAAAAAGGCTTGGCTGTCACCGCTAAAAGGCATATGGCGACGGTGCTTCCACACTCTTAGATGTGTTGTTTTGAAAATGATGAACTAACCGCTCGACTCACCCTTTGGTCATGGCCCAAAGTCATATTAAAAATATCTTATACTATGTAAATCTTTAAAAAGATGTTTTTTTTCGTACAATAATACCAAGAATTCTGTGCCACCGTAATATACAAGAATTTTCCTCGTATTACAAAAAAGTTCTTTTTGTTGTACAAAGAATTTTTCTTACAAATAAAATTTGGCTTTGTATTACGGTTGCACAGCACAGAATTCTTGGTAATACAAGACTTTTCTTTGTAAAGATTCAAGAGTGTACATATACATTTATAAAATGGAAAAAATAATTTAAGAAAGCAATAAGAAGGGTAGTTTATAAGTAGGTAGTGAAGGCTAGAACCCATACCAGTAATGACCAATCGTTGGTATAATGCCTCACTTAATAAAATGGCAGTACATAGTCGCCATTACAATCATTGTTGTGTACTCTTTGCTGTGCGTGAAGTGCGTGTTGTCCAAAAGGAAACAGAGTGCCCTGCCAGGCCGGTACAGTGCGAGGCGAGCGTCGGCAAGGCGCACTCGAAACCTGTTCCGCCGCCCACACTCGCGGCGCTGCCCGTCGCGTTTCAAATGTCAGCGGCGAACATTACCTTTCCAGCGCCTCCCCTCCGCCCCTCCTCCTGCGGTCCGCGCGTTGTGAAACTCGCTCAGGCTCGGGCCTCACGGCTCTGGAGCACAAGTAGGGAGCAAAGAACTCAAATGTAGTCGCGGTCAAAGAAAAACATCACGGCTGTCTCTATGGGCTCAGGAATAAGGATTGTCAATGCTTGCTGCTCCAGACCGGCCGCCGCCGTGCCCGGCCCGGCCCCGCTCTGATTGATGATCGCTTACCGAGGGTCACGAGTGCATAATAATAATAATTTTATTGCTGCTTTTAACTTGATTAATTCTCGTTGTTTTATTTTGCTGCTCGTTCTCTGGTGTGGCGGGTTTACTTCTGATCCCGCGCGCCGGGATATGATAGGGGGCGCGGCGGGGCGGTGCGGCGCAGCGCTGGTCGTGACAGGCGAGCAGCTCCGAGTGAATTTCGCGCAGGAAACAAACAGTCGGGGAAGAGGAGGAGCATGGAGCGAGCGGGCGGCGGAGGAGAAGAGAAACTGATCGACCCGAGGATCGCGAGACACGCCGGTCTCTATCCCTCCTTGCCTTGCTTGTTTCGTTACGGACGAAGACGACAACGCGACAGACTTCTAGGAAACGGCGCTGTCATACCTCGCCGCCATACCGCACCACACCTCACCACTACATCACGGCTCACATGAGTTATTTGTCGTCCTACTCCCCTGTCTCTAACCTGCGCGCGCGCGCCCACGCTAAGGCAATCCGCCCCGCCCCCACCAAGGGCCGCCAAGGAGGAGAGGAGTATACTAACGCGCAGCCGTCGTCGTCGTCGGGTTGACCTTTAAAACGACGCCGCGCCACGCCGCTGCTCAGGTTGGGAACGAAATGCTACAGCAGCAGCACGGCGCCGCGGCCGAACGGCCTGCGATTTATTTCGCCGGGACATTGACTCGGCACCCCGCATCGCCCCGCCCCGTCCCGCCCGCGGAGCACTATAGCCGGGCAGAGAATGGCAATGGCACTATGTATTCCGGCACGGCAGTGCTGGCTGGCGCGGCCGGCTCCGGCTGGGCCGTGCGAAGCTTCAATCCGCAGCGTGTACTTTGCTCTCGCATGGAGGTGACTCGCGGCTCGCTGCTGAGAGCACTCTGCGGAGAGAGAGAGAGAGAGAGAGAGAGAGAGAGAGAGAGAGAGAGAGAGAGAGAGAGAGGTGAGAGGTGAGAGGTGAGAGGTGAGAGGTGCGAGCGAGAGAGCAGGCGGCGACCACCCGGTGGTGTATAGAGCGTAGTGCGCCTCTCGCCTCTATCTAGCCTATCCATCTACGCCCCCTCTTCCCCCCTCGGGCCACCACGGCCTGGCCGGCGCGGTGCCCCTCCTAAGGACAGCTCGCTGCTGCCGCAGCCGTGTGCTTTGCTTTTCGGGCTCCGGCGGCGGGCCCGCGAGAGACTCCCGCGAGGTGAGGCTTGTTTGAATGTTGTTTATGGCGCCATTACTTCTAAGGTCTCCGGCGCGCTACGCCCCGCCACGCCCCGCCTCCTGCCTCGCTGGACGCAATTACCGGCCAGGCAAAACGCTGCCGTCCGCAAGCCGCAGGGCCCCGGTGGGGCTCTCCAGTCGGGCGTCGGGCCCCCTATGGGGCTCCTCTATGGGCTACTCCCCCCTATGGGCTGCTCCCCCCTATGGGCTCCCCCTATGGGCTCCCCCTATGGGCTCCCCCTATGGGCTCCCCCTATGGGCTCCCCCTATGGGCTCCCCCTATGAGGACGGCCCCGCGCTAAAGCAGCTAAAGCCACTCCAGGCCCCTGCGTTGCGTGCTCGCTCTGCTCGCTCGCCAGTTTTCCCACGCGAATATCGCACAGTCACACTCGGCGTTGCCGGAGCCTCCCGAGTGATTCATTATCTCTCTCCGCGCGGCATGCGACAGGTCGCCTCGCCTAAGAAGCGCTCCTGGAATGAGCGCGCGGCAGCGAGCGGCAAAAAGAATCTTTTTCTATCCATATGTGTATGCTCACCTACCTCTACATTTTCACGAGGAAAAATGAAAAGAAATCGTGTTGAATGAAATGCTTAGTTTTAATGGCTGTGTGCGCTGTAGTGTGTGCTGTGTGTCGTCGAGTAAAGCGCCGTATGGATGTACGGTGGAGATAGACAGCGAGTGTGCCAAAGAGTAGTGTGAAATGCTCACAAATTACATAATTTGCATTGTATTGCATAGTTACTACAGAGTATCATTGAGTTGCTTGGCTTGCGCTACGAACTACCTTTTTGAAAGCTTGCACTGCTCGTGCTTGAAAATACTTCGACTACAAGCCGTATTCTTGAGCACTCGGCTGTGTGTTGACACCCATCCTGATGCGCCCTGCGCCCGTGCCGCGCCCAGCAGCGCTCCGCTCGCTTTCTCCGCACATGAAGCACTCCGGGAGGCATTTTTATGGCCCACGACGTCGTCGTCGTCGCTGCTGCTGCTGCTGCTGCCACGGAAGAACGGGAGGAGGAAAGGGAAGGAAAAGTAGGTGATTTGAGCCGGGAGTCGTGGAGGGGGTAAGCGGCGTGTGTGCGCCTAATGGTGGCGCTCCGGTGTGTGTAGGGTGTGGCGGGGCCCGCCCGCAGCAGCAGCAGCCGTGGTGACAACGGCTGCGGCCCGAGCGCCCGGCGGGGTAGGCAACAACGCCGCTGGCGCGCGGGCGTGCGCTGCGGTGGCCTACCCCGCCGCCCGGCAGGCGCTCGGGCTGCTGCTGCTGCTGTTGCTGCTGCAGAGATGATCTGTCGAACCGCCTGTCCGCCCGGCCGCCTGTCTCTTTGTCTCCCCCTCCCAGCCTCTCGCGCTGCTCGCGCAGACAGATTGACAGGCAAGGATAAGCCCGGCCTGCAGTCCTGATGAATACTGCACCGTCCAGCGCGGCTCAGCGCGCCTCAGCGCAGCGAGCCAGGCGGGGGGGCCTTTTGTTTTTCTGTCGTCTTTTTGCCCCCCTCTTCTTCTTTTGCTCGTTTTTTATTCACGATTGTGCCCGGGCGTAAAGAATACAAGGATTGGCACCTCGTTGCGCGGGCCGGCCGTGGCCGCCTCCTGGCGTCTGTCTGTTTTCGCTTCTTCATTGTCAGTGTTCGGGAGCCTTGGCTTGACGTGCTCGCGCGGCTCGCTCGCCGAGGGGTTGCTGACCCGCGCTGACCCCGGCGGCGGCAGCGCGGCCGTGTTGATAAATGCACTGGCATTCGCGCTCGGCCAATCCCTCATCCTACGGCTCGAGCGCCGCCGCCGAGGGGCGTTATCCTCCAGACAGTCGTCACGGCGGCCAGCTCGGCGTACACTGCTCTCTGTACATTCGCGCCTCATTCTTCTCCTCCCCTGATCACCGCAGAGTGCGCTAAACTCCCCCCCC